TCTAGAATTACTGTACCATCAGATATTTATATATTATATAATTAGAAAATTAAAATAAACTGACCCAAAAAACACGGAAAAATAAAATATTAATCCACCCTCCCGTCCCTCCTTATTTATGCGCCATAATATTGCTGGTTTATCTTGCCGGCTCGCCAAACAACAACCAAATCCCTCTGAACTTCCTTATCACCTCCATCTTTTTATTTTATATAGCTTCCCAACATCCTCTCTCAAATCATTCTCGTATTATATTATTTCCTCAGTCCAACAATAATTATACGCATCGAATTTTTAAATACGAAAAGATATAAAGGGAGAAAAAAAAAGAGTAGAGAAATCTCACGTACAGAAATCTAGGTAATCGTGTCGTGCTTTTTTCTCCCGAATCCCTCCGGAATTCCTCTGTATACTTTCATGTGAAGAAATCACCGAAAGAAAAATCAGAAAAAAAACAGGGAGAGAGAGAATGAAGGCTAGTAATGCTAAACTTATAGTTTTTCACCCATCTCTTCACAAGCAAGGATCAGGAACAATTACTGCTTCACCTCGCATTTGGTTTCTTGTTTTCCTTTCCTTTTTCACTTTTGCTTTTGCACTTACTTTCTTCACTGCTAAGGATGCGATACCCATCGCCAAAACCGGCACGGATACCGCCGCTCCGTTGCCGGCGACTGTATTTAACGCGCTTCTTCATTATGCTTCTTTGAACTCATCTACTGTTTCTTCCCGCATGTCGGCGGTGGAGCTGAAGACGATCGCTAATGTGCTCCGCCGTTGTAAAGCTCCTTGTAATTTTCTTGTTTTTGGTCTTACTCACGAAACCCTTTTGTGGCATTCGCTCAATCACAAAGGGCGTACGGTTTTTGTTGACGAAAGTGCTTATTTGGTATCTAAGTTAGAAGAGAAGCACCCGGAAATTGAAGCTTACGATGTTCAATTCACGACTAAAGTTAGTGAATTGCACGATTTGTTGGATTACACGAAAGAGCAGCTCAGAGGGGAGTGCCGGCCTGTGCAGAATCTTCTATTTTCCGACTGTAAATTGGGGATAAATGACCTACCAAATCACATATACGATGTGCCGTGGGATGTCATTTTGATAGACGGGCCACGTGGGTTTTCCTCTGCCGCTCCGGGACGGATGACGGCTATATTTACCGCCGGCGTTTTTGCCCGGAGCAAGAGAGGTAATTCCGACAAAACCCATGTTTTCGTTCACGAAATCGACAGAAATGTAGAGAAAATCTGCAGTGAAGAGTTCTTGTGCAGTGAGAATTTGGTGGAAACGAAAGAATTGTTGGGGCATTTCGTGGTGGAAAAGATGGAAGCTAATAGGTTTGAGTTTTGCTCAGTCTTTGATCCTTCTTCATCTCCCACAACATCATCATCTTCTTCTGTTTGAGCCAAAAATAAAAACACGAAGCCAATGTCTTTTTCTTTTTTATCCAGTTTATAGATATGAGTAATCTGTAATATTTTATAGGTTTTTCAAGTGTGAAATATTTAGAAGCTAAAGCAATGATGAACTCAAATATTGCTTTCCAAAATTTTAGCTGTCTTCTTCTTTTGATTTAGTTAGTAATTACTCTAAAAACCTCGTTTAGCTGAAAATGACACTTCAAATCATTAAATTAAATCTCTGGGGTTAGATTTTTGCAAGAATTTTTCAAGTACTTAAACAGAGTCTTGACAAAGAAAACAATTTTAGCTTAGGAACTTTTGTTATTAGCCAAAAATCACTATTTTCTCTCTCTTAATGGTAGGTTTGGTACATGTTTTTTTTTTTTTTCCACTTTGTGTCCGATTTCGATCTAATAAAATTTGAATCGTAAAAGATTTATTATATGTATCCTTAATATTGAAAATAGAAACAAATTTTCCTTCAATTTTGGACTAAATGGGGAACAATAATTTTAATGTTTATCGGAAGTCAAATCAAATGAAAAACAAAAACTGTCAGAATTCTTTGGAAACATTAAACTAACTACTCCCTCCGTCCCTATTTACTTGTCCATATTTCCTTTTTTAGTTGTCCCTATTTAGTTGTTCATTTTGACAAATCAAGAAAGGACAACAAATTTTTTCCTATTATACCCTTATTTACACTTCTTGAAAATTGTAAAAGTGTATGTTGTTTCCCTCCAATTTATTTCACTTGAATTCAAATAAGTGGTTGTAATTTTGAAGTGAAAAGTTGTCATAAGGGTAAAATTGTAACTTCACTGTGCTAATAATTGTTGCCTTAATCTGTGTGCCATTTCTAAAGTTGACAACTAAAAAGGGATGGAGGGAGTAACATTGAAATATCAAATTGAATAACAGATTTTTTTTTTTTTTAAAATAAAATTATTTACAAACAGTGTAATCCAAAAATCTAATTTAAGAGTTAGGTGGTGATATATAAAAATCCAAACGAGGAGGCGACAGACACTTGTGTTTCAAATTTTAGATGAATCGTCGGTGATTGAATTCGAAAATTTGAAATGAGTTTTTTCTCAAAAAATGATTACCCACGCGCATTGAGCAAGCGTTATTGTTACACGACTCAGATTTTTGAGACGCGTGTGAGTGAATAATTCAAAGGGAGCGTGAGATAACGTGTTAGCAGAATTCACGTGGACCGTCAGTTAGAAAAACAGTAGCCCCATGGGCTCATTCTTCTTTTATGGCGGATCACGTGGCTCACGTGATAAAAGTCTAAAACTTAACGGGCTTTACGGCGGTGAACGTGTCGGTGAGGTAAATATTGACATTATTTTCGGAGAAGATTTGGGCCCCTTTCTTTATTTTCATTATTGGGCCTATGATGGGTCTTCTATAATTTGTTGTATGCCTTAAATATAATTGGCCCACTAAGCCATTAGCCGAATGGTCCATGTCATTTCATAGTACTATTACCAAATTTTTTAGATACCATGAATAGGAGATCAAGGAAGACTACTTAAGTAGTAGTGATCAGGAATAAATTAATTTTGAAATTATTTATTTCATGATTTGTACTATAATGATGGAGTAAATTATATCATATATATATATATGGTGAGATAATTTTGACAATTTCAGCCCCCATACCAAACAACCCATAAGAGGTCATTTGATTCGTGGGATAAAGAATATCAATTTTGAATATTTTACGTGATTATTTTATTTATGTTTGATTATGAATATTAAGCACACGTTTAAAAGATGAAGGCAGTAGAGGTGAAAATTTTGATATGAATCTAGACATAATAAGAGATATAAGATCAAAGATGAAATTATAGAGGACAAGATGAGAGTGGCCTGGGTGGCGGACGCCAGACACTATGAGGAAAGCGAGATTGTGAAGGGAAGGTGTGTGGCAGCACCAATAGGGATGTGTGAGAGGGTGACTATAACAAGTTTTAGGATAGTTAGAGGTAGATGAAGAAGATTAAATAGTCTGTTTGGATTGACTTAAAAGTTGGTCAAACCTACTTTTAAATCATTTACAACTCTTGGAAGTGTTTGACAAAGTTTAAAATAAATAAAAAATGATTTTTAATAAGTTAAAAATCAGAAGTAGATCTCCCCCTACTTTTTTATTTTTTGACTTAAAAACTAATTTTTTTTAAGTCAATCCAAACTAGCTTTAATTTGGGGGAGATGAGGATATGATCTTAGATAGGAATGTAAGGAGACAAGGATTAGGGTAAAAGAATAATATATAGCTAGAAGTTGTCGTACTTATATGTTGGAGAGGTAGGAAGCTAGTCTTTTATTCTCGTCTTCTTCTTATTTAGTGTTTACATAGCATCTTTTTCTTTATATCTTGATGGCATTTTTCTTTCTATCTTGCTTTGATCATATCTTTTTGAGTCAAGGATTTATCGAAAACAATATCTTTATGCTGTAAAAACCAGAGTAAGGTTTATATATATTTTAGACTCTTTTCAGTACTCACATATAAAATTATACTGAATATATTATTAATATTAAATAAAATGAAAGGGACCAGCTATGCCATATTTTATTCCATCATTGTAACTAAACGACCCCCAAGGCCCTAACTACTGACTTCAAAATTTGACTTTTGTTGTTGTTGTTGTTGTGTTGTCCCCTCTGGAGGCTGGAGCAGTGCATCACAATTATGGTCTTTCAATTTTAGACGTGCATTGAGCCCATTAATAGACTAGAATAGAGTCAAAAATCTTTTAGATTTTGTAGCATTACACCAAATACTGTACCTATTGAAGTTCCAATGAGTTTTTTTTCCAAATTAAAATTCTCACAATATGCAGGAACCTGCACAATATTGCCTCCTACTTTGTGTGGCTTGAAATGAAATTCAATTACCATGTTCCCAAATAAAAAAACGTACTTGCCCTGTAACAATCTCAAATGAGAAGTATTTTTACTCCAAGTCTCATATTAATAATTTAATTGATATATAGTCTTAGGTCATATAATATGATTTGAAAAATAAGTAATTAATGCAGAGAGTAAATTAAAAAAAACATAATTATCTTTTCTTGATTTATTAAAAGTAACAATAAAAATTGGAAATGTACTTTAAAATATTAGATAAGTAAAAATAAACGGGGAATAATTTAGATGTTATCTCCCAATATAACAAATAGCTTACACAAAATTACTTTTCCCTTAACAGTGCACAACATTTCCACCACTATTTTCTTGACCCAAAAAGTAGTTCTAGTGGCACATCAAAATTCATGCGGCTAGTTATATCCTCAAATCTAAAAACAAAAAAACACAAGGTCCCATTGATTTTGCAGCATTAAATTATCAAGGAGTATTGCATGATAAAATGACATTTCTCTGTCTTTAATTAATGATTTTGAATTCGAGCTATTTTTCCCTCCAATAGATCCTATTCAGAACGAATTTAAACTAGTCAAATCAATAAATTTCAAATACCAAATGAATAATCAAGAAAAAACCTTTGCTATAATAAGTTGTGAGATGAACTGTAGTACCTGACACCAGGTAGAAAACATAGAAAAATAAATAAAAATCAAGAAGACACTAAAACAAAGGTTTCATTAATACAATTTTGTATGTTTTGACAAAGCAGAGTATGAAATCAAATGTCTTTCTGGTCTAAGTGGTCTTTGGGGACTAAAATTAGAAATATTACAAGGTATGATCCTCAAGCTCTTCTGTAATGGACACAATTTAATTTGCATCCTAAATAATACACACTCCAATATTGATCTCTGATTAGGAAGACCATTAATACAATTTTTTTCAACATTAAGAACTCCATTTTCGATCAATTCCCTACATAGTGGCCCTACTTTTGTAAAATAGTTATTTGACAAAGTAAAATTCACTAAATTTTTTAGTGAACATATCACTTCTGGAACTTGTCCATATAACAAATTTCCAGCAAAATTCAATTGTTCCACACTTTCCAAACACCCTAATGAACGTGGTAATGGACCAGTTAATGTGTTAAATCCAACGTCGATCACAATTGCTTTTTTCAAAAGGCCTAATTCATAAGGAATGCAACCAGTGAGCAAGTTGTTCAAGAATAAAATTTCCAACAAATTCGGAGCTTGTCCAATGCTACGTGGGATTGGACCAACGAATTTGTTGTTGGCTAAGGTTAAATAAAAAGCAGAGGTGGATCCAATGTTGTCTGGAAGTTTTTGAATGAAATTGTTATTGTTAAGAAAGAATGCATCAAGATATTGTACGAAAATTTGAGGTGGGATTATTCCTGTCAAGAGATTGTAACGAATATCCAAGAAAGTTAGAGTCTTGATATTGAGAATTGACATGGGAAATGTACCGATGAACTGGTTGTTACTAAGATCAAGTTCGTAAAGATATGGAAGATTTGAAATTTTCGAAGAAATTATGCCTGAAAAGTTGTTGGTATTAGCATGAAATATGGCTAAGTCAGGGAGTTGATCAATGAAACCATCTAATGTAGGTGCACTAAGTTGAAATCCATTGAAATCTATAGAAGCAAGAGAAATTGCTGAGGAATTATTAGGTGGATTATCACAATAAAAGCCTTTATAATTGCAAATATTAGGGCCTGTCCAAGTTTTTGTGACACCAAAAGGATCAAGAGTAATTGTGTTCTTGAAATTTTGTATTATTGGGAATATTAGAGCTAGACTTTGGTCTATGAAGGTTAAATTTGGTGCTGGTAAAGGTGGTAGTAATTGGCAATTAATATTGTTGAGAATTGAAAAAATAATGAGGGAATAAAAGATCTTCATGGAATTGGAATTTTTTTTGTTACTTAGTGAGGAGAGATGAGAAGAAATTGTTTATAATGATTTTCTTTTATAGCATAAAAGATGCATGGTATTAATTATCTTGGTTGGTGAAGTCTTGAAAAAGATAAGAGACTCATGAGTTCACATTGTAGTGGGTAATTGGAAGAATTTATAGTGATTGGTCTTAGCTATTATCCAATAAGAAAATTTCATAGTAGGTGGTATTTTGAGCTCTAATTATTAATTATATTGATAGTTTAGCTAATTATCAAATATAACATTAATAACAATAGTTTACTTTTAAAAGATTGTTATACTGTGCATCGTTTCGCTCTGTATCAAAGCGAACGGATACAAATCAAAACTTTAGCTATCGTTATGTAGTGTAATTTTTTCAAAACTCTCATGTTTCAAGTAAATACAATGAATAAAAAAGGAAAAAAACAATTAACTTTGTATCTATTTTAAATGGGGGAGTTAAACAGAGATTCCAGAAAGTTCTTGCTAAATGGGTATTTAAAATGTTGAAAGTGGAGCACCTCATCTGCCATAAACCAAAAGAATCATGATTATTAGGTAGATGAATGAATATGTGGAATTCCATTGCTCAAAATTAGTGAGGAGTTTAATGTCACGCTTATGTATTTATTTTTTTAATACTTTTTTCTCATGCATACAAAAGATGATAAATTGCAAATATAAAGAGTGTGAACACAAAAAGGAGCAGTAGGAATAAAGATAATCTCTTATTAGGCTATTCACTTGAAATTTTTATCTTCACGTGGTTTATTAGGAAATATTAAAATAAATTCGATAAATAGTTCTCCTAAATTCAAACTCATGGTACTATAGTTTGAAATATGACCTCTTAACAACTGTTTGTTCTGAGAGAGTGTTCACTTGAGAGTTGAGTCGTAATCCTAATACTACTAGAGTACTTGTCGTTTGGTTGAGAACAAATTATCTCAGGATAAATTATCTCAAACATGACAACCAAACAAGAAACCAAAATACTATCGCAGGATTATTTTTCACACCAAACGACCCCTTAGTAACACGGCCAAATGAAAGACGAAACTTACAACTAACGAGATCTCATTATCTCTAAGGGGTCGTTTGGTAGAAGTTAGAACATAAATCATAATAGGAGGGAAAAGGGCCAACGACTTCTCATAAGGATTTGGTACCTGGGCTCGCAGAAGAATGGCTGGTTCGGTGTGCATCTTGGCCCAACTAAAGCGAAGAAATTCTACGCCAATGTTGGGCTGATTGCAGCCTAAGTCCATTATAACTACGGGCCAAGTTCTTGATCTCTAGCTTAGCCACGCATCCAAATGAATGTGGGCCATGGCACATGTAAAAAACAAGGATCTCTTGTCCACTCACAAATAAATATAAGAACATTACCTTTTTCAGATTTTATATGTAAAAATAAAAATTTCTTGTAAAAATACCTAATAAAATTAGAAAAATAAATATTATAAATAAACTACGAAACCTATTCTCCTGTCCAAAACCGTGATCTCATTCAGAAGTCTTTCCTACTGAGGCCTCATTTGTTTTCATAAAGATCAAGACCTCTAAATCTGAATACACGTCTGAATATTAAGATTTGCATTAAGAGCTAGGTGTCTAGATCTGAATACACATCTGAATATTAAGATGTGGTCTCCAAATCTGAACACTGAATGATTATTGTTTGTTTTCAATATTTGAATGTGCATATGAAATCAAACATTATATTAATAAAATGTTATAAAAAAATCATTTCAACAAAAAAATTATTTTTTGATTAAAAAAATATCGGAATCATCAAGCATAACATAAAGAAAATCACGAATAAAATATATTTTATAGGCACAATATAATATCAAAAAGTTCAATAAGTATGATTGATACTAGTTGAAAAATAATAAATAAGGTATTACATTATCAGCGCCTAACATATATTTTGGCTAATTAGAAAAATTAAAGAATTCTTATCTTTTTTCCAATAACCTTAATCCAATTCTCTAACTTGTGAGCCTCTAACGTCATTCATGCTTTTTGTAGCGACACTTTCACAAAATATACTAACACATATACTGTATAATGACTCTTCCCATCCAAGTCCATCAAATTTTACCATATATTCTTCAAAGGTAGGTGCACTATTTTTTTAATCAATAATTCCAGATTAGTAATCATCTCATCAATTTCCAATTCAGATGAATAAGTTTTTTTCTTCCCCAATTTTTTTTTCCAGATGAAACTGAAGATTGGGATGTAGAATTATTAGGAGCTCCATTATTTTTGTCACCAACTAGTTCAACAACAATAATATATCAAAGAGTCCCAACAAAATTATTGGCCCAAGACAAAATTCTAATAAGAGACCTCAAATATGTATACATAATTATTATTTTTAATTATGAATAGTATTTTTTCACTCAAAAACCTTGATGAACAACAATACACCCTAAGAAAATTATTAATATAAAATAAAAATACTTGTAAAGATTATGAAAACTTACCAGTTCAAGAGGAAAAATAGTGTTTGATTGAGAAAAAAGAGCAAGAAAGTTTGTAGTTGAGAGAGCAAAAGTCACACAAAGACCGAGAGAGGTGATATAGTATTATTTTATAACTTATTAAATAAGTCTGAATGATGTTAAAATTCTCCTGTAGATCTGATCCGTTTAGACCTTTTCAGGTCCATTAAGAGGCTTTTTGAAAAAAGAAACAAATGGACTGAATCTGAATCATTCAGATTCAGAACCTGCATTAAGTGCAAACAAATGAGGCCTGAGACTCCAATAAACTTCTTGTTGGCTAGTCTTGATGAGTGGTTCAGAAAAAATTGACATTTAATTATAGTTAAATGATATATATATATAAATTTTTTTTACTTAATTATGATAAATTATAATAGTATGGTGCATGGAGCAAGTTTTTTTTTCCACCTAGTTGCTAAATCCCTCATTGAAGCCCAATTAAATTCGGATCACGCACGGCATGACGCTCCAATAGGATTTTCTCCATGGAGAAAGTCAGTGTAATGGTGTGTTTGGTAAAACTATTCCACAATGTCTAATTTGACCCAATCAAGTCTGTGCAGCAAGTCAACTATACATCTGTCCAAATTTTAATAAACAATTCAAACCAATCACTCTCTAAAACCTCAACCAGACAGAAAGAAGAAAACATTGGAAACTAATTGCACATGACTACTAGAAAAATAAGCCAAAGATCAATCCCATCTAGATATAAAAAAATCATATAAACTATAGAATTTTTACTTTTCTTGCACATCACTCATACTTAATTGTAGATAACCGTCAGCAATGACAACTTACATACTTTTGACAAGTAAATACAGCATGAAACATTAGCTAAAACTAGAATCCAACATTTTTTAAATCTTGGTTTGACTATAAAAAACTGGATGAGCAAAGGCTAGAAATACAACTCCTATTTTCTTTCAACTGCTAAATACACCATTCTTATAGCAACTATGGATAAAAGAACAGATCAACTTCATGCATACTTTTTGCCAATGATGGCTCCAGGGCACATGATACCATTAGTAGACATGGCCAGGCAATTTTCCAGGCATGGTGTGAAGGTAACAATCATCACGACTCCTCTCAACGCGACTAAATTCTCAAAAACAATCCAAAAAGACAGAGAGCTTGGCAGTGATATTAGCATCCGGACAACTGAATTCCCTTGTAAAGAAGCTGGATTGCCAGAGGGCTGTGAAAACTTAGCTTCTACTACTAGTTCAGAAATGAGTCTAAAATTCATCAAAGCCTTGTACTTGTTTCAACAGCCAGTTGAAAAGTTCATGGAGGAAGATCATCCAGATTGTCTAATAGCAGGAGCTTTATTCCCATGGGCTGTTGATGTTGCAGCCAAGCTGGGAATTCCAAGACTAGCTTTTAATGGCACTGGTTTACTTCCCATGTGTGCTTATCACTGTTTGATGGAACACAAACCTCATTTGAAGGTTGAATCCGAGACGGAAGAGTTTATCATCCCTGGCCTTCCTGACACAATAAAGATGTCAAGACAAAAGCTTTCAGAACACTTGAAGGATGAAAAAGAAACCCCAATGACTGCAATATTTAAAGATTTTATGCGAGCAGAAACGACTAGTTATGGAGCTATTGTAAACAGCTTTTATGAGCTAGAACCAAATTATGTTCAACACTTCAGGGAAGTAGTAGGGAGAAAAGTGTGGCACGTTGGTCCTGTTTCGCTCTGCAATAAAGACAACGAAGATAAATCACAAAGAGGCCAAGACAGTTCCCTTTCTGAGCAAAAGTGTTTGGATTGGCTCAATACCAAGGAACCAAAATCAGTCATTTATTTATGTTTCGGAAGCATGTCCATCTTTTCATCAGATCAGTTGCTTGAGATAGCAACCGCTCTCGAAGCATCAGACCAACAATTTATATGGGTAGTGAGGCAAAATACAACAAATGAAGAGTGGATGCCAGAAGGATTTGAAGAAAAGCTGAACGGAAGAGGTTTGATAATAAAAGGATGGGCACCTCAGGTGCTTATCCTTGATCATGAAGCTACGGGAGGTTTTGTGACTCACTGTGGATGGAACTCATTGCTCGAAGGAGTTAGTGCAGGAGTGCCAATGGTCACATGGCCGCTATCAGCTGAGCAATTTTTTAATGAAAAGCTACTAGTAGAGATATTAAAGATTGGAGTACCAGTAGGTGTTCAGGCCTGGTCTCAAAGAACAGATAGCAGAGTCCCAATTAACAGGGAAAGCATACAAAGTGCAGTGACCAAACTGATGGTTGGTCAGGAAGCAGAGGAGATGCGAGGCCGTGCAGATGCTTTAGGAAATTCGGCTAAAATGGCTGTAGAGAAAGGCGGATCATCTGACAATAGCTTGATTTCCTTACTAGAAGAATTGAGGATGGGGAAGAGCAGCTCCAGCTGATGGGAATTTGTTTAAATGTATTATTGTTACATCATTTATGTGTTAAGACAATTTGGACTTTCTTTGCT